CATTTCTGATTTCTGGGGTTGTGGCAAAGCCCTAGAATTCACATTTCTAGCAAGTTCCCAAATGATGCTAATAACACACTTTTGAGAACAATTGTCCTAAAGTTACTACATCCCCCTCCTCCTCCTTTTCCTCCTTTAATCTTCCCTCGCACTCTGATCTTTTCCTCCCTTCTTTCTCTTCAAAATCAATCTTCTGGTGTTTTTATTCCTTTCTCCCTCCCATTTTTCCCCTTCTTCTCTTTCCCTCCCTCCCTTCTAAGACAGTATCTGAAGTATCCAAGTGGACATCTTTAGAAGGACTTGTTTAAAGTATTTATTCACATAACAATATTTACTGAGCAACTGCAAAGATTCATTCATTCATTCATTCAACTAATATTTGTTGAAAGTACTTTTATGCCAAGCTTTGTGTAAGAAGAAAAGACAAAAAAGACTGTGCCCTAAAGAAATTCTTCATATGCCCTGGGAAGGCAGATAGTGCACAAACATATAAACAATTAGATTACCAAATGTCATTAATGTTCTGAATGAAACACATGGGTTGCTAAATTGAAGAACAGTAAAAGTATACTTTTTCCTTGTGAGGTCAGAAAGGGCCTGGCCCCTTTAGGTGTGTGTTTAAGCTGAAACCTAAAGTTGGAGAGGAAAATAACCAAGCAGAGCACCTGGGGAAGGGTGGTCCATGAAGATGAAACAGCAGGGACAAAGGCCCTGGGGCAGGAAAAATTCCACAGGGGTGTCTCCAGAACCTAAACCAGAGTCTGGCACACAGTTGGTGGTCAGTCAGTATTTGCCAAATGAATAAGTGAATTATCAGAACCAGGCCACTGAAGTTAGGAAGCAAGCAGAAGAGAGGTGAGAGATGGGTAGTGGCCAGGTCACAAAGAAACTTTTAGGTTATGGGTCAGGTGTCTGAATCAACCAATCAGCTTTACCAATCCACTCTGCTCTCCTCTCATCCCCGCACCTGCTCAAACCCTGATTCGAAGCAGCAGTTCTTAAAGTGTGAGCCCTAGATCCCTGATGACCAGTCATATCATTTGACATCTGTATTCTTTAATGTGACAAGAGCCATGCTTTCATCCATGAATTCACTGTTAATGAATATGTAAATCATAACAATGATTCATTAATTACTATGACAATTTATTTAAGAAGCAGCTGTTGGTTCACTCACATCTAATCAAAAGCAGCCCCACTCTTCCCGTGCAGTCTGGGAAAGGCTTCCTAGTGGCAAAGGAAAGAGACTGTCCCCTGAAAAATTACAGAGCAGCTGATCCCAAATTCCTGGAATGCAGCAACTTCTAAAGCAAATGCAGTGTCATTACTCAGGATAAATAGGTTCAAAAGAAGTTGAGGAATTCCAAACAAAGATGAGAACAAAGAAAAAATGAGTCAATTTATTTACACTTTGTACAGTAGTTTCAAATAAACTTGCAAAAAAGATGATATCTGGCAGCTTTTCCTAGTCCTATGTTGCCTTGAATCCACTATAATTCTCATTAATTTTTAATAATAGTATAAGTGCTTTAAAAAGGAGAAATGGAACAATAAAATCCTGAATTTAAACTTTCCCTCATTGTTTCATATGTTAATTCTTATGGGTTATTTAGGACCCACTAAGTTTGGGGGCACTCTGTGAGGCTTAAGATTCTCCTGCCGGGCTCCCCAAAAAAGAACCGGCAGTTACATTCCTTTGGAAAAGAAATGTCCTTGCCTACTGGTCCTTTCCTTCATGTATTACTATGAGTCTTCACATGATTGATATTAAAATAGATAAAGGACAACACATGGTTCTAAACATATCTGTCTCTCTTCAATAGATTAAAAATAAAATAATCATAGTTAAAGAAGTCATTTCTTCTTTTCCAAATTCCTATTTCCAAGGCATGATTAGCAGCTCACTGTTAGTAACATAGAGCTTGAAAGCACCTAAAAATGGGTCATGTTGTGAGGATCCTTTGCCATTGCTTACTTGATTGATCCTCTTCAAATGTTGCTTTTTGGTGCATTTGCCCACACAAAGGGGAAGATTATAAGAAAGGATTGGTACACAGTACATTGGAAATAAAAATAATTTAAGTATTAACTTAAAAGGTACAGTAGGTCACTGACATGTACAATAGTATTTTTTTAAAGATACTTGCAAAAACTTGGAGGATATAGGACCTGCTGAAGATTTTCTCAAAGAACAGGAGAGTATTTAATATATTTAGGTAAGAAGATTCCAAACCTGAGGAGCAACTTATGAGAAAATTTTTAAACCTCAATAGAAAAAACAAAGACAGAGATAGGAAGAAGTTAGGAAAATGTGACCTATGTGAAGGATAAATTTGCAAAAGAGCAAAAGCGGTGATTCAGATACAATCTATAACTAGGCAAACTGACACTCGTATAGCACATTAGAGTTTGCAAAGGTGCTTTAACATATGTGATCTTACTAATTTTCATATAGCTCTGGGAAATATTTAGAGTAAGTATGATTCCAGTTTTACAGACAAGGAAACCAGATTGTCTTCTGAATACAGGGGAGGGAAGGGAAGGGGAAGGAAAGAAGGAAGGAAAGAAGAAAAAAAGGAAGGAAGAAAGGAAGGAAGAAAAAGGCAGGAAAGCTGAAAAGAAAGAAAACTGAAAAAGAGCCCCCTGGAAAGGCTGAAGGCAGCCTACAGCCTTGCTGTATCTGGAGGGGGGGTTGCATTTCTGATAGTGCAGAAAGGCATGCCAAGTTGTGAAAGCCATTGAAGTTGGGGGGCGGGGGGATAAAATATTGAGGTCACTCTTTTCTAAGACAAGTGACCTGAAGAGTGAAGTAGGAAAGATTCATTTTTTCCAGAAATACACACACGTTTTAAGTTTGACCTTCTTTGAGTGTTTGCTAACTTGAAAAGGAGACCTCTGGTCTGGCCACAAAGTGAAAGCCCCTGGAATCCCTGAAGGAGTGAAAATGCCATTTTTTTTCATTAAGAGATTAAAAAATCACACATTTTCTAAAAGAAAATAATTTTTACTTTTTCCATTTTTTCCTGCTTTTTCTCAAAGTACGTAACAGTCAGTATAGTAGCCAAAATATAGCTTTATACATACATAACCATTTGAAAAGAAGGGAATGTGTCATCTTTTTTGTTGATTTGGCTCTGGAGTATTCCGATTTGAAGATTAAAATGTGGAGTCTCATGTCTTTTGGAACTTGTCAAGGGTGGCACCCCCCCAAAAAAATCAAAGATTATAAAAGTTATTGCAATATTTTGCTATTGTCACCTGCTAATTGTACAATTAAACACTTTTGTTCTTTGGTTATTGGGGACGGTTTTAAAATGCATTTTCAGATACACGATCATTCAGATACTGAGGCAATTGCTTGAAAAGCATAAAGTTAGTCCTGAAAACTAAGTAAAGTCCATTTTTTTGTGATATGTGAGGGAGCTGAGCCACTAGTGGTATCTTCCATAAGTGAGAGTTTTTCTTTCTTATGTTTCTTGGACAATTATGGATGAAATGGCTTTAACTGGATGACCAGTGATGAGACTGCTTTGCCTGCAGGTTGGACAGTTGGTGGTGCTCGTATTTGTTCTTGGTTAGTACCAGTTGCTTAAGATTTAAGGGAGGACACAGGATTTTACTCGGGAGAAAGGGAGAAGTGGATGGCAAAAACATAAAAAAAGGTCAGATTGACAATGGACAGGATCCTTTGTGGGGTTTCTTCTCTTGCTGGTGTCAGGAGGATGCATTTTGGGACAAATGAATGCTTTGAGGTGAGAAGGGCAAAAGCACTCTAATAAAAGTCTCCAGGAAAGAGTGTAAACGACCTAGGGAAATCTGCTGTGGTTATGTTTAATCCTGGGAAAAGAGGCCCTGGAGAAAGCAGATGAGGAAGATAGGAAGGAAGACAGGGAGGGGGAGGCAGTGGGTGTGGAGGGAGGAAGGGAGCGGGGTCGGGGGCTGGAAAGTGAGAGGGGGCAAGTACTGACTGTGGCTAAGGCGACAGGGTTGAGGACCACAGAAGTGGGAAAAAGTGAAAGTCAAGGGGAGGAGAAGAAGGAGGAGGAAGCAGAGTTCCTCGGAGCCAGACGGGACCCCTAGCCCAGGAGAGGGCCGCTCGGGGCAGCAAGGGCAGCTTGGCCCGCCTCGGGGGGCCCCCTTGGCAGCCTCAGGCGTTGGCTCCTCTGAGCTCCCTCCCTCGCCGGCGCATTGTTCCTTTGCCGGGAGACGAGGAAATTGCCTTTTGATTGCGGAAGTCCGCGGACGGGGCGCGGGGCGAGGCAGAACGGGTCAGAATGGCAGCGTGGGAAGGGCGGCGCGCTGCCTGTCCCCGTCGCCTCTCGCGTCCGCAGCCCGCTGCGGGCGGCAGCAGCAGCAACAGCAGCAGCAGCAGCAGCAGCAGCGGTGGCCCCTGCGCGTCGCGAGCCCGAAGGGAAGCGCTCTGCGCCAGCGGGGCGCACTGAGCGCGCGCAACAAGTGGCCTCCCAGGCGGCCGTCGGGGCCACCCGGTGTCCCAGCCCCTCGGTGAGGAAACAGTGTCCGGGATGCTGAGCTGTGGAGTGGGGTTGGCTTTGTGGACCGCACTGAGCCTGCTGCAGGTGAGTGGACGGAGAAGAGGTCGCGGGGAGACGCGTCCCATCCCCACCGAAAACTAAATTCCCATTTCACTTTCTGGGCCTCCTGGGTTGCGGTTTGGAGAGGGAGCTGGCCGAATTTCTTCCTTTCTCTTAGGAAGAAAGATCCTCTTCTGAGCCCCCAGCCAGAATGTCAACGGCCAAAAAAAAAAAAAAAAAAAAGTAACCACCTTCTTTCTCCTGCTGCTCCGGGGAAAGAGCAGCTAGGGGGAACGTGGCCACCTACCTCCTCCCCGCGGGCCTTTTCTCTGCTGGTTGGGCAAAGGGATGGGCTGAGGCTGGGGACGAAGGCTGAAGGCAGTGGAAGCGTCTCAGGGAGCTTGCTGTGGAACTGACCTGGGCAGCCCAGCTTGTGGACTTCAACTGCTGTCTCTGGTTCATTTGCAGACTAGACTAGGAGAGCCAGTGAGATGTAACTTCACCGTGACGGAGTCCAGGGTCTCCAGCCGCTCCGCTTCCATCCAGTGGAGAACTCTGGGGCCTCCCTGTAACTTTAGCCTCATCTATAGCAGTGACACACCAGGGTTCACGAGGTGCCACCCCGTGAGGAGGATAGACAACACCACCTATGAATGTCACCCTGAGGATTTACAAGCCGGAACCATATACAACTTCACGATTGTGCCTCTAGACGGAGAAGAAAGAACTGTGGTGCTGCAAACAGGTAAAGGGGCGACAGGTGCGGTTGGATGGCCAGACTGCTCCTGGCTGAGCCCTGCCTGATCAAGCTGATGTTGCACTTGAGTTCCAGGCATACAAGAAAACAGTGGTAAACATACCTGTGAAGATAAATGTCCCCAGATCTGGCCAGCAGCAGCTTGGTACACTTTCAGAAATTTCCTTAGTGCTGAAAACAGCGGACTAGTCGCCCCAAGGGGAAATGCAGCAAAGAGACATTCTGCGCTGTGGAGGGAGGTTTGTTAAAGTGATGTGGTTTGAGCTCCCATCACATTAAATTGTCAAGCCCTGGAATAATTTTAAGTAAATGTTTTTAGAAAAAATAATCGAAGTGCAGTGATTAGGGGTATGCCTTTCCTCAACTTAGTTTTATTTTTGGAGCCAGAGTATAAAATCATCAGGAGTAGAATAGACCCATTCATAGGAAAAAATTAGAAAAATTCCCTGGAAATGAGGGGACAAAAATTATTTTTGCATTATGTGAGTAACTAAAACAGCCTAGTATCAGAGAACGTCCTTTGGTCACTCTGTACCTCAAGTCAGTTATTTTTCCTTTACACTTTCGGCAAACCCTTCCATGCATGTGTGTCTGCTCGTTTGTCTTTCCTGCCTCCGCTTTCTGATCTGTAAAATGAGAGTGTAGACTTGGCCACTTGGGTCCAAGGTCTTACCAAGTGCTATCCACTCAGGCAGGGACTCTCGTGCACACTGCCTCTCTCCTCCCCACGCCACCCGCAGACGCGTTTTAAATTCCCTAAGGACTTTGATGTCTTATGACTTCATGAGTCTTCCTTTTCACATTATCTTTATTTGTTGCAATAGTGAAGCCTTACTTTCATCTAGAAAGTCCAATTTAACTGAAAAAAAAATCCAGAAGTTAAATTTCAAAATGTGTCGTCCTTACTATTCTTTCATGTACAGCCTAAAAAAGATCACTTCTCAGCTACAGTTCTTGAAAGAGGCGTGAGAACTTTCCATTCCCAGGATCAGGAAATGGAACTGGGTCCATGTAATAAGTCAATCAAATATTAATTCTCTTATTTTTTCAAAGAAAAAAAATTGAGTGCCCAGTTGCATCACCTGACTTACTTCAGATGAAACTTTTGGATAATTTCTGAGATTAGCAAGTACAAATTGAAAAGAGATACCAGTTGTTAAACTTTTTTTTGTGTTTTTATGTGGAATCAAAGAGAGACTGAAATCAACCATGTAATTACAACATTTTCCAGAAGTTTAGCAGCGGGATTTTTAGTCATAAAGTTGTAGGTTTCTTGGTATGTGAGCATAGTTTAGTGAGCACTCAGATTGCTGATACTGTGAAATGTATGACCATAGAACTTCTAGATGTGCTCATTACATTCGATAAGGCATATGTGCGGAATGGAGCACATGATTTTTTAAAACAGGTGAACCTTCAGAAGTTTATGGGAGAAAAGATGAAGATATTCATAAGCCAGTATATACTCATTTACGCAGAGGTTTTACCTTTTTTTAATTTTTAAAAAATTTTTAAAGATTTTATTTATTTTTAAAGAGAGGGGAAGGGGGAGAGAAAGAGAGGGAGAAACACATCAACGTGTGGTTGCTTCTCATGTGGCCCTCACTGGGGACCTGGCCCACAACCCAGGCATGTGCCCTGACTGGGAATGGAACAGGCAACCCTTTAGTTTGCAGCTGACACTCAGTCCACTGAATTACACCAGCCAGGGCAGAGGTTTTACTTTTGGGGGAAGAAAAAAAAGTTGATGGAAAAGCACTTAGTGTGGGTATTACTAGTTAGAATGCCATTTAAGTTTAATTATGCCTGTGTTTCAAGTCCAGAGATATCTGTGAAATGTAAGACATAGTAGCATTTTATTAACTATGTTGAATTCAATAAAAAAGAGACCTCATCAGCATTCACAATGTGTTGGCATTCAAGTTCTCATCATTTTTCTCAAGGAGTTTGTTGTACAGTACCACTGATACACTTTACACCACAAATTTTATGAGCTTCATGATAAATGTGCAGAATGAAATTTGCAGGTGATGTTTGTATAATGGTAATTTTTCACACTTATTTGTATGATGGTATAACTCTTCTTAGGATTCTCTACACTTTAAGAATAATTTTATTTAAACTAAGGTTTTTTAAAATGCTTAAGGGAGGATTTTTTTGTCAGTTGTTTATTTTTTGTCATTACAGCCTTCTATATTTTAAGGAAATGTGTGAATTTTTCATTTATATAAGAGAAAGGATTTATATGTTAATTCCTCTATGCAGAGATAAGATCCACAAATTACATTTTAGTGTATTAAAACATGACCAACTAATAATATAATATTAACTCTGAGATATAACTTCCAACAGAAAAGCCACTCAAAGTGTGCTGTGCTTTCCTTATGCCAATTTGCTGTCTTGTTGGCCTAGAATAAGAGAGCAAGAACTGATTTGGCTACAGATACAATGGTTGCTTAGATTATCTCTGTGTCATTCCAAGTGTGATTTGTCTAATTGTTGCTCCTGATAACTTTTCTAAAGTAACCAGTTATTTTGGTGTCAGGGAGCTATTCCAGCAACAATCAACTTTCACTCCAGTGTTTAAATCAGAATAAAAAAACATATATATATTCCAATTCAGTTCAGTAAACGTTTATTAAGCTTGGACCCTGTAGTGAATTACACCAGGTAGTGATAGGTGAGCTTACAAAGATGGAGAACAGCACATGGCTCCTGCCCTTGCAGTCCCATGCAGAGGTGAGAGAAGGTCATGGGGAAGGTGGTGACAGAGCTTTACCACATCTTTGCTGGATGGGGACTTTGCCCTGCCTCCTGTCTGTGATGCTTTCCTAACCACAGAGGAGGCACTGGGCAGTTCTCAGGTTCCTTTCACCACTGAATCGTCTGTGCCACAACCGTAATAGATTCAAAGCCAAATTATTTAGTTGTGGCTAAAAATAATTTGCAAGCTAAATTGTTTAGTTGTGATTTCATCAGAAATCAGATGTGAAGATGACAGATATTGAAGAACTCAGCACTTTTGCAACACTGTGTCCTCAGCTTGGAGCAGAAGCCGAAACCTGGTAGTCCCTAGGGGTGTGAAGTGTCTAAATAGTAGACATGTTTTATTTGGCTCATGTAGTGTTTATGAAGAATTCAGATGATTTTACCAGCATTAAAAATGGAAAGTTCATATAAAAGTCAGATGTATGGATTCTCTTAAAATATTGGAAGATTTGGCAAAACTGGGCCATTTGTATTCCTAGATCTCTCTAGAGCTGAATGCATCCTCACCTGAATGCACCCTAAGGACATTTGAGTTTGTTTAAATAAAACTTTCTAGTTTTCATGTAGGACTTTTGGGGAGCTTTTATCTTCCCAACAGTAAGAAGTAGTTCTTTAGTACCTAAAATAACATCTAGCACATGGCACATGTTCAATAAATATTGATTAAATAGATGGATAGATGAATGAATGAATGAATGGAGTGAATGGTTAGTTCTATACATAGATAGATAGCTAGATGATCAATAGATAAACAAGTAAATATTAATGAAGGAAATGAATATTTTATTGGGAAAATATACACATACTAAAAGTCTGATCTATTCTCCTTGGGTTATGAGTAAATCATGGAGCCCAGGGAAGCTGGCTGATGGTGGGGAGGGAACTTCACTTACAGGAAGAATATCTTAGTGGCTTATGCCCTCTTGTTAGTCAGTTTCACCTACTTACTAATGAGCCAAAAAAAATCAGCACTTAATGAGGCTAGTTCTTTTGTCTTTAATAAAAAAGATGTTTCGGAAGCTATAAATACCAAACCAGCATTTCCGCTATTATTTCCACTTTGCAATGTTGCTTAGTGTACTGGTTCACTAGGGCTTCCATAGCAAAACACCACAGGCTGAGTGGCTTGATCAACAGAAATTTATTTTCTTATACTTCTGGAGGCTAAAACTCCTAGGTCAAGGTGTCAGCAAGTTTCTTCTGAGGTTTCTCTGATTGGCTGGCAGGTGATCACTTTCTCGCTATGTCCACATGTGGTGTCCCTCTGTGTTATCTGTGTCCCAATCTCCTCTTCTTATTAGGACACCAGTCATATCAGATTGGGCTCCCCCTAATGATCCCTTTTAACTTTATTACCTTTTTAAAGGCTTTATATCCAAATACAATAACATTCTGAAGTGTTGGGGGTTAAAGTTTCAACATACAAATTTTAGAGTGGCACAATTCAGCCCATAACACTTATATAGATTTAAATATAGGCCATTATTTCTCAATAATGTCTGTAAGCTATTTGCATCAAAATCTCTTGCAGAGCATGTTATAAAGGCATTTTCTTGGCTTCAACCCAACATGCAATGAATTTAGAAAGGATGGAACCTAGGGTATCTGATTTTGAAGAAATATCAAAGTGACTCTGTGCACACTGAAGTTCAAGAGCTATTGGAGTGGTTTTTCTATTTTTCATTGGCATTAAAATTTTGATATCATTTCTTTTTATGGTCAAATCTGTATAAATACAGTGAACATTATACTGACCACATATTGTTTAGTTCTATCCTCGTGGAGGTCCTGTGGCGGGAGCATTATGAAAGCACAGGCTGCACAGTGGTTAAGAGTTGAATTCTGAAAGCTGCTGTCTCCAGCACTTACTAGCCAAGTTGCCTTGGGCAAGTTATTAACCTCTCCAAGCCTGCTTCCTAATTTATAAAATGGGGGTGATAATAAAAATATTGCCTTCTCCACAGGATCTTTTGAGGTTTTAAATGGTTCATATACACTGAGTGTGTCATAAGTTTACTATTAATAACTTCCAGGTTGGAAATGAGATTGACATTTATGAGCATGAACATCACAAATCCATACAGCTAATGTAGGATAGACATAAAATTCGAGCCCTGGTTTACTGCATTCAACTCCAGTTCATTCCATTACTCTGTGGAAAGGGCATAATTTTTAAGCTGGTTTTAGTTCTTTCAAATTACTATATGATACTGTGGCAT